CCTTCTCTTCAGGGCTGCTCTTGATACATTCTCTCCTTGGGCAACCTGTTCCAGTGTCTGGCCACGTTGCCGGCTCATGATGAACTTCTCATCCACCATCAATCCAAGTCCTTCTCTTCAGGGCTGCTCTTGATACATTCTCTGCCCAGCCTGTATTTTTGCTTGGGGTTGCCCTTATCCAGTTGCAGGACCTTGCACTTGGCTTGGTGAACTTCATGAGGTTTGCACAGGCCCACCTCTCAATCCTGTTAAGCTTCCTTCACATTATTCTGAGATTCCCTTGCAAAGGGATCACACCAGCTTTCCACCTGGAGCTGCTGTTGTGCTGTGGTCTGTGGGTGCAAGAGGTGTGCTTTGCACCCTCCCCTGCTGACCTTGTGCAACAGATTTCATAGAGGTCTGTGCAGGAGTGCATTTTGGAGCACAGAATAAATTGACTCTTGAACAGAAAGCACTTCTCATCTTTAACTGTGGAGCTGCTTCTGCCCTGCATAGGCCAGCCTCTGTGCTGAGCTCGTCCTATTCCCCAAACATGTCCTTTTGTTCATAGCTAACCCTGACCTTTGCTGTAGCATCAGGGTATGTGCACAAAAGTAGCACAGACACAGGTCTCTTTACCTCCAGCGAGCTGCACATTCCAGTTCTTTGATTTCATTCTCTTATTCAGATTAGTCCTAGGGTCCACCCTCTGTATGATCTAGCAACAAAGACTAATGTCCTGCCAAAGGCTCCATACTGCCCAGAAGTCTAGTGACCAAGCCCAGAAGCTGTTCCATGTAACCTCAGTCACCTTTCAGTGGCTTGAGTAGCCTCCCTCTATGGTCAGCAAGGCCAAATTAACAAACGTGTCCCTGCTGTTGAGGACTGTCAGATCTTTCTGTTAGATTGTGAAGGTTTGGATACGTCAGATCAGCTCTTTCTCCAGTGCAGTGACACTAACTGAAGTCCATTCACAGTAACTGGCCACCAGAGCTGGAGATGGATCAGTCTGCCTTCCCTGAGGCAGGTATAACTCCATGGCTGGCAGTGGGACCACTCCTGTGCATCCTAGCTCACAGCATGGCCCTGTTTACTTACAGTGATTATCAGCATGACCTGGAAATAATTCCATGGTCCTCTTGGGATCATCCTCCTCAGGGCTCATGTCTTCTGACTCCCATTGGTTGGACATCTTGAAGAAGCTGCTGCAGCTTCCGTAGGCACAGCACTGGTAGGCATAAGGTACCTCGAGGACTCTACAAAGGGGAAAAGCAGAACTTTCAGGTGTGTCACCTCTGTCACCTGACTCACCATTGTTTTGCACTTTTTGCTTAATTTCCTCCTGTGACAAAAGCTGGTCTATCAGGTGATGGTAACATTGGAGCAGAAATTTGTTCTGGTGAAGGACTCCATGTACTGTGGACCTAAGTCACCCCATGGTGTCTCTGCACTGCCCCACTTTTGGCTCTTAAGACACTGTCTTTCAATAGGATGTTGTCAAACACCAGGTTTGGAATCTGCACTAAAATTCCTGGATAATTCCTAAAAACCTTTCTGCAGTTCTCCCTAGACTGAATTAGCTTCTCTTTCCCATGCCCTCTGGCAATATGCCATGTACATGTGGAGTCTTCATTTTTTACCCCAAGGCCATTTTTTGCTAGACCTCCTTTCTTTTGTTTGAGGTGAGAAGATTCCCAAGAGCTTGAGCAAGTGCAAGGTCTCCCTTGCTTGTTTCTGAAGGTCAGAGAGTCACCTCCAAACTCCAGTTCCACAAATGTGGCCCACCCCTGCCAGCTCAGGCAGGGAAATCTCAGGTCTCTCAAGTCTAACATAACTTGTTACGATAATTCTGATTTCTACCTGATTTGACCTGAGAATTCTGATTTCTACCTGAAAGTACAATTGTTAGTTGTTAATTATAGCATGTATTACAAGGTTAATTAAACGGCAGCTGAACATCATCTGGATGAAATACCAAGCTATCAGTCAGCAGCTGCATTTTCTTCAAAGACAGTAAACTTCTGCTTCTTTGCTGGAAGCCAGAAGGACTGCTGATGAAGGCAAAGGAACTTCAGGTTTTCCAGACAATTAAGGTCTTCTGACAAGATCAGTAAATATGGTGAAACTCTATATTCTAAAAATATGCTTTTGTTTTAAGTTCCCAAACATTTCTAGCTGAACCCCGGGAGGCTATGGAAACTCTGTATACACGTTTGCTTCCTGTTACAACCTCCAAATTAAATCCTGTTATTGAAAGGTGGTAGGGAGGTACAGATCCTCCCAGGATGGCTAAAGAACTGTTCTCAGATGATTCCTCCAGACATATACCCCAAGAATAAGACTGCTTAATGGCAGTACCCCAAAATTTAGGAAATGCTAATGGGTCCATTGCCTGGTGTAGTTCAGTGAAGCCCTCCTGCAGATTCTGTCTCTTTGATACAAATAGAAACCAGCTCCACAGATGTCAATGAAAATAGTTTAGAGGAGGAATGCCCCTGGAAGTGCTGAACTTGACCTGCTCTGTGCAAGGGACTGCCATCTTGGATGTGGAAAGCCCTCCAGAATCTTCTGGGGCCCCCTGCCATTTGGAAACCAGTCATGCAGCATATTCTAGCTATGATAAGTCAAAAAAGTCAGAAGAGAAAACCCTGAAGGCACCACTGCTAAGGCAGACTGAGGTGAGAGCTCCACACTTTTCATTCGACCTGAGCTATTAAGCCCAATGTTGGTGCAGTGGCCCCAGCAGTGGGTGTCTAAATTTGAGAAGCTCCAGCCTTGGGAACCCATACTGGATGAGTGAGAGCACCAGCTCATGCATCCTTGGCTCCAAGGGAACTACCTGGGAGACTCAAGCAAAAGACAGCTTCACCTCAGGGAAATTTGAGTCATCTGGACAGAGGGCCTGCCACACTGGAGACCCACCACTAAGGGAGGGTCAGGAGAGCCAGAGCCTGCAGTGCAGCACTGTGCTCCGAGCCTTTTGCAGCCTCGTCTTGTTCAGTTTGACCCCTTCAGGCTCCTCATTAATCCATAGCAGACAAGACATGGCCACACAAACAGAGTTTACTGAAGGAAAGCTGGATGTCATTAGCTAGAACTGGCTTCTGGAAATGTTTTCCATTGAGAGGAGCCCTGAGCTGGGCCCACTCCATGCTTTCCACTTGTGTATGTGTTTGGGGTGGGGTGGCAGGCCTGGGAGCTCATCACCACTCTCCCGTGGAAGACTTTAAAAGATGAGGCGTGTTAGCAGCAGATGAAACTTCCTCAACCTATTGGCCTGAAAGGATGGAGGAAGCATGAGATAAACAAGGAAATCAGGAGGCTGATTGCTGTAAGCAAATACAAGCTCTGCTGAGCACTAGAAGTGAAACAGCCAACACCACCAGTACCTCATTTTGGGGAAGCTCTCCTTGTTGAAGGGCTCAGAGAGAGATGGGTTGCCTTGGAGCTTCAGATGGGTCAGACCACCCAAACCATCCAGTGGCAGTGTGACCAGCTGGTTGTCAGTCAAGTCCCTGATGAAGGGAAAGCACAGAGGGAGACTGTGGTCAGGGTTTTGTTGCTAGTGTTATCTCAGCCAAGCAGAGGCTTGGAGACCCATGCTGTCTGCCTTGATTGTTCCTTCAAATGTGATGCTGAAATTGGATTGGGTGCTGCACGGGGACCAGGATTCTCTGGAGATAAATGGTTTGATACTGCAATCCTTGGGGAAAATGGGGGGCAGAGGTTAATGCTCATGCTGAAAGCTCTGGGTGGTATCTACCTCCCTGTGCACATACGTGCCCCATGTTCTCTTCCCCCACCACTTCCCCCCACCACTTCCCCCATAATAGGTCAGGTATGACTACAGCTCCCAGCCCATCAAATACCCAAGAGTCTTAGTGAGGTGTCTGAGGACTGAGGACCCCTCCAGCAAAGATGGTCTGCAAAGACCCATGCTGAAACAGTCTATCATGCTGATCTTTCATAAAGGCATCTAAGGCAGGTATGAAAGCGTCAGAAAGTGCAAGTTTAAGTGTTCAGGGTGAGAGCATCCTGAAGATGGCCCCTTTTGCACTTTCATCACCCCTCTAATATTGATGGGAAACCTTGGGATTTGGTCTGCCCACATCAGTGCCGAGACATGCACCTCCGCACTTCTGATATCTAAATGCCAGGTGTCCTGGTAGCTTGGGTAGTCAGTCTGAGGTCCTCAGATAACTACTGCCCATGGCCCACTATGAAAGAAATAGTACTGCAACTTACAGCTTGGTGAGCGAGTGCAGGGTCACAAAGGCTTCAGGGTGAATAAACTGGATGTAATTCCAGCTCAGGTCTCTGCAAGGCAAAGACATACCAGTAAGAGGGCGGCAGAGGAGGGCAGTGAAGCTTCTGACACTGGTCTGGTCAAGGGGTTCAACGTAGGATCAGTAGCCTCTTGGTCAGCAACAAGTTCTGTCTCATTGCAACTCCCTGGAGGCAAATACGTTTGGGTGTACATATGGGTGGTTTCTACCAGAGGACACAGAAGTTTGCCTCGCAGGAGCTCCTCTACTAAGACCAATGGGAAAGGTTCCTTTTTGGATTCATTTCTGTAAATTTGGAACTTCAATGCTAACATGCTAAACCTCAAAGCATTAGACAGATTATGCCTTAGTGCCAGAGCATCTCTGATGTGATCACACTACTGGATGCCCAGGCAAGGGCAAATAGGGTGAGTAGATGTGTGGCAGGTGAACCAAGATCATCTTAGAATGTCTCCAGTCATGTACAGCTGGCTTGGTTTTGGGGAGGATTCATTAAGGCTCCTCAATAAGCTCTACGTTCATCTGAGCTAGAGGGGTCATCTCCCTCTGTCATCAGCAGAGGGAACCTACACATCAAGAAGCATTTCTCCTCCTACAGCTGACTACAGAAGAAATCTTCTACATATATCTACATCTCTTCAGCTCTGAAGGGAGCTGGGGTGCCTGCCCAGATGTGTGTGTGTCATTGCAAAAGGCTAACGTTGGATGAGTTGAATCCTTCCCACAGGGACCCAGCACAGACCCAAAGGCAAATGCCACAGCTTACATGTGCATGCTTGTGTGCACTTAATACATCTAACATATGCTTTTAAGTTGTGGGGAGACAGTTCCAAATTAAAAGGGGTGTTCTGCATGGAGGTTTCAGGATCGCATGGCCCAGGACTAGCATGTATAAGGAAAAATGTGCTAGAACTCATGCACACCACGGCAAACCCCTGCCATGAGTCCATATCTGCACGGGCATTTAGGAGGTAGGTGTCTGTAATGAGTGCTGTGCGATGTATGAGTTGCAGTGTGTGACTAGAGCATGCGGTGTGGAGTGTCTGCACACCTGGCAGGTAAGTTTATTTACGGGGAGTGTCTACATGCAGAAGGAAAGCCAGGGAGAAGGTTTGTGCCCTGTTCTTTTGTGAGAGGAAGTGGAAGAGGTACTGGACAATCAAGCTTCCCAGCAGAGGCAGAGCAAGTGGGGTTGGGAAACTCCACATCAGCCTGGCTGGGTGCTCACGGTTCCCTGTCAAAGAGCCCAGTCATTCTTCCTGCCAGACAAGACTCACATGGAGCGCAGGGCCACCAGCTGCACAAAGGTGTCTGCTCTGATTTCATGGATCCTGTTGTGCTGGAGACCACTGAAAAAACAGAAACTGGTTTGAGAAAATAGATGAGGGCAATATTCAAATTTTGTAGGGATCTTTGTCCCATGGCAGCAGACATAAAGTGTCACAGTGGAAGCTGTCATTCAAGCTTGGGAGATCTACTCTTATTTCAAAGTAAACAGGATGAACAACAAGACAGCTCAAAGCCATTGTCTCCTATGGGCAGCTCCAGGGCTCAGCCAACCTCTCCTTTTATACCATCATGGCATAGTAAAGTGCCATTGATGTTTGATTGTTAAAGATGTCCCGTTATCTCCAAAGCCACTGTGATTTCCCACACTGCTCCTTACACTTTGTCTAGAGCAAAAGAGGAGAGCTTGGATCTGGTAAGTCAGCAAACAGCTCTGTGTGACTCTTCAGGAAGGACTGTATGGTGCTGCCCTTTGCCTTGATGATGCTGAAGGGCTTTGAGGGCTGAAGGCATCTCAACTTTTCATGAAGAAGTATCCTGATGTCTTGCTGAACCCAACACCCACATCCTGCCTGTATATTTTCATAAAGTGCCTCATCCCCTGCACACTCCCTTCCAGCAGCCTCCTGTACTCTCCAGGGTAGGGGAGGGAGCTGACACGGTGTTTGCTGACTGACCTATACACTCCCAATCCCCTTTGAGAGACATCTAGAACTGATCCAGCCATCCACTTTGTGGGAAACATTCACAGATTTTCAGTTTTCTTTTCCCTAATGTGGAATAATGGTGAACATTTTAAAAAATTCCTGTAAAATGCCTGTCATGAATTCCCAGACCTGCAGAAGTGATCTCTGTGTGTGACCTTCTGCAAGGGGAGACAGCCACTGCCTAGTGCTCTACCTACAACAACTCCCTGGGGCGTTTGTTGGGTAGCTAACCTGCCTTTAGACTCAGAAATGATCTTAACTCATCTCACACAAGGACCTGCACATGATGGCTGTAATGTCTCAGCTGGTATTTGGCCACATATTCATGTTTCAGAGACAGGAGCTCGAGGCTCTTTTATCTGCTCTGCTGCTGGTTTCCCAGTGCCCTCTGTAGCCAAGAAGGCATTACTCCTACTTCTAGCTCATATTTCAAGTGAGGGTCATGGGAAGCACAAATCTGGGGGTCTCACTGAGTGGGAGATGTGGAGCTTGGGTAGAAAAAGTATTGGAGCAAGATAGTGAAAAATAATTCAAGGATTTTTAGCTGCAAGGGACCACCTGTGTGCTGCTGCAGGTAAAAACCTGCGTGTTGGCACATACAGCAGAGTGATTGGCACACCTAAGCTGTTTGCATGCCAGGCTGTACCACCATGCACCACCAGACTTGTTTCCTACATATTTCCCAGCAGAAATGCTGATGCCTGGCAGGAGTGGGACCTATAGGATGATAACTTCGGGCTTAAGGGACCAAATACTCATTTTGTGAGAAAATGTCAATTTCAGACAAAGTCTATCTGACTTCAGAAGTCTGAAAGAGGGATTTACTGTGCTTTTATATTAATGTTAAGTCTAAATTTGGCTTATTATAAATATTGTAAGAAGAAATTTAGGCACAGTGTGTGAAACTAGAGGTTTGGAATTCTGATGTCTTTCTGACCTTTTTTTGATGTCTTTTCTATTTATTTTTTAAAGCATTTTCCTGGGGGTACTTTAGATGAGAATACATCCAGCTCTAACTCTGTCCTTAGAGTTCCCGAAAAGGCAGCAAGGGCTCTATAACTCTCATTTTCATGTGATTTCACACAGTGTCCTAAAGTCCAGTTTGCTAAGGCTGGATGAACTGCTCTGGCCATCCAGGTTGGGGTGCTGCAGAGAGCAGGGACAAACTCACCAGTGTGTTTTTGTGGGATGCTGCTACCACACATATATTCTTCCAGGTTGCAAAATTCTAAAAAAAATCATGGAGTCTATTTTTTTTTTTTTTTTCCAAAAAGGCCAATAACTTCTATTAGATTTGAAGTATAGGGCCAGATCTTCAGACACTTTGAACAGAATGTTCAGGGGCCCTGAGCAGTGTGGATAAGAGCTGCTTTGTGTCCATGGCATGGGACCCCTCCTTGAAGCAGAAGACATTTATGATATAGATGAACCTCATTCTTGATTAGCCTATTAGATTTGAAGTATAGGGCCAGATCTTGAAGCAGAAGACATTTATGATGTAGATGAACCTCATTCTTGATTACCTCATACTGAGACTTGATTTATTGAAGTGAAATTCAGTGCTGTCACATTGTACTTCTGTTTGTTGTGGCTGGGACCTCTGGAAAGACCTGGGTGAATTAAGCTTCTATGCGCAGGGGGTGTGTTTTTATTCTACATTTACACAAGGGCAAAGAGTATCAGCTCTAGTCTGTTTGCAGTCCAAACAGTAAGTTATAACACTCAGCTTCCCAGTGCTTGTTGAAGGCTGAGTTTTGTCTACAGGAACTGCCTCTGTCCCCAAAGCAGCTCTTTTCCCCCAGAGTGTGGTGCAAGTGAAGGCGTCTCTACTCACAGCTCCTCCAGCCGCTGACATTGATGGAAACTGGGCAGATCTTCAATTTGGTTGTGTGACAGTTCTCTGCAGGGAAAGGAGTAGTACAGTAATGTTAGGAGTTCAAAAGCAAGTGCCCCTGAGCCCTCCCTTGGAAAGTAGATATTGCTGGGGAAAGGGATGACCGGACTTCCATTTTCCACAGCTGCAGAGAGCAGTAACCCCAGGCGAGGGGGGATCTCCACTCTGCACACACCTGATGCTTGCTCTGAGTGTCTTTGTGCAAGGCAAGGATTGTTTGGTGGTTTACCTACTCATCCAGCCCCAGCCCAATTCCCTCCAGCACAATCTGCGGACTGATGGAGCTGCTTCTACAGCTGGGGTGGGGTTTTCCTCCCCTGCCCCAAGTCAGCTGTGAAATTAATCTGTGCCAGCTTCTGCCATGCACAACTTTGCTTTTCTGTGGGCAAAGCAGCAAGGTATTTGTGCCAGAGCTCCCATCCTCATGTTGTGGATGGGGGATCTCACAAAGGCTGCAGATGTGCTTGCAGAGCCTGGGAAGGTTTTCACTAGCAGAACAGCCAGCCAGCTGCCTTACCTCCTTCCTGGCAAACCCAACTGCCCATCGCCTGCTCTCCATTCAGCCATTCCTGGCTTCTCCCCAGGGATAGAGAAGGGGTTGTGGCACTGGCAGGGATTTAGTACAGGACATTATTCTGATCACCATTCTTTCAAGTGCTGTCACTTGAAAGCAATTCCCAGCAAACTCCTGTGCCCACTGCTCCATGGCCCCATGTCGTGTGAGCATCAAGGGTAGGGTGACTTGGTAGTCAGAGGAAAGCCTATTCTGGCACAGCTTAATGTGAATTTATTAAAATTGAAATGGGATGGGTAAGGAGTAATGCTTCAAATCAGCTCTCTCCCCCACCAGCAAAGGCTGGATTTGTGGTTGTTCAAGGGAAATTTGCCCCGGGCTAAAGTTTTGTATGTGGCCTCTCCACCGACTTTCCAAACTCAGTTTCCATCTTTCTGCCAACAAGTTGCTGTTAAAAAATTTCAATTATTTATTTTTTGCCAACCCCTCTCCACCAGTTTTTCATGGTGAGGAGGAGGAGGAATGGAAAAGCAGGCAAAAGTTTTGTGCTTGGCTCTAGAGACTGTTACCCAGTATGGAGAAAGAGCTATAGCATCAGTCACTCTTCCCTGCTTCCTGTGTCAATCCACTGGGCTTGACTGGACGGTGGCTTAGCTAGACAGTGGTGGAGGGAGAGCACAGCCCCAGAGCAAGGGTAACCAGATGCAACCCAGTATCTACAAGCAGAGCAGCCTCAGCCACTGATGCTATGTTGTGGATATACCAAGATGAAGGTAGTGGTAGCATCAAAGGACTTTAGCTCTGCTCAGGGAAGTTTCATCTATTTCTGCTTGAGAAGAAAGACAAATCTGTGTCCTGAGCAGAAGCTCTGAACAAAAGAAACAGGATGATGTCAGGTTGATGCCAGGCTCAAGCTTGGCAAGGCTGCCCTGCCTGGGTGTGCTGGGTCAGACTGGTGTAACATCACGGCCATGAGCCTCATGCCACTGTGGTGGCTCTTACAGCCCCTGTGCAAGATATCTGCAGAAAATCTGCAACCTGGTGTGAGGAGGAGGAAGCCAGAAATGTGGTGTTAACTGTATCATCTCTGTTCTGGTGTGTCACATTCATAACGCCAACCTGATGAACTACCAAGGGTTGGCAAAGAGAGGGAAACCAGCAAGAACAACCTCTAGCTCTGCGGGGACAGAAGGCCAACGCTTTCAAAGGCAAGAGAGATGTAAACATTCACAAACATTGGCCCACATACTCTCTCTCCAAACTCTGAAAGCAATGCAATTAATGTCAGTAAAATAAACTGGGGAAGAGGAACAAGGAACAAGGTAGGGTGTCCCAATAAAACTCTCCCACAAGGAGGGGGCAGTCATGAAGAACAGGCTCTGCTGTGAAGGTTTACAGTCTGATAACTTGCAAACATAAACAGAGCACTTGGGACCCTACAGCCTCAGCCAGTCCAAAGGCTACACTTTTGTGGCAAGATGTCTATTGAATTGGTCCAGATGTGTGAAGATGAGAGAACTTCCCTACAGGGACAGCTGGAGCCAAAATGTTGTGATCTGCTAAGTTACAAATTGTGTTCTTTCATTTTTATGTTGTTCTCTTGTTTCCAAATTCTGTGATCAAGAATTTACTCCTTTTGCTTTCCTGGAACAAACTTGTTTTCATTTTCAGCTTGCTTGCATAAAAACTGATGAGAGGCAAGCCTCCTGCTTGCCCTAAGGCTGCAAACTTGTATAAAACTGGCTCATGAGTCATTTCCTGAGGATGTCTTTGACTCCAGATGAAGTTCGGGATCTCAGGAATGAGGAGTGTGATTCCTGAGAAGATGCAGAACTCTTTCTGAGATGCTGATCATATATGAAGTTAAAGAAAGAAATACATCTCCCCACTCAGCATCATTCAGTGCCTTGCCAAGCAGGTAGAGCCAAAGCAACTTCGAGACTCTGAGAAAAACCCTGATCTGTCACTGCTGCACCTCGCGAGGGGCTGTGGCCACGTGGCCTTGCAGGTCTCCATCAGGTCAGGCCTGTCCCTCCTGAATTGTGAGCAGGATCCTTCCTCCAGATGGATGGCACTTGCCAGAGCTCCAGTTGCAGTGAACCAGTGCTGGGTCAGAGTGTTGTGTGAATTTACCCCTGGCTTTTGTGCTGTGTGTAGCTAGGAGCTCTGAAATGCTGCTGCCATTTTATAGGCAGCAGACAAAATTTTTATAGGTGTGTAGGGGATAAAAGGAAGACTAGGGAAATTGTGGACCCTCACCAGAAGGAAACAGGAGACCTGGTCACCTGGGACATGGAGAAGGCTGAGGTATTCAATGACTTTTTTGTCTCTCACCAAGTGCTTGAGCCACATCCTCCAAGTAGCAGAAAGCAGAGGCAGGGACTGGGAGAATGAAGAGCTGTCCACTGTAAAAAATAAGGTTCAAGACCATCTGAGAACCTGAAGGTGCACAGGTCCATGGGACCTGATGAGGTGCATCTGTGGGTCCTGAGAGAACTGGCAGAGGAAGTTGCCAAACCACTATCCCTCATATTTCAGAAGTTGTGGCAGTCTGGTGAAGCTCCCATGGACTGGAAAAGGGGAAACACAACCCCCATTTTTAAACAGGGAAACAAGGAAGATCCGGGGAACTACAGGCTGGTCAGTCTCATCTCAGTGCCTGGCAAGGTCATGGAGCAGATCCTCCTGGAAAGTGTGCTAAGGCACATGGGAAGTGAGGAGGTGATTGGTGACAGTCAACATGGCTTCACCAAGGGCAAATCGTGCCTGACCAATCTGGTGGCCTTCTATGATGGGGTTACAGTGTTGGTGGACAAGAGAAGAGCAAATGACCTCATTTACCTGGACATGTGCAAGGCATTTGACACTGTCCTGCAAGACATCCTTGTGTCCAAGCTGAAGAGACATGGACTGGATGGGTGGATCACTTGGTGGATAAGGAATTGTCTGGATGGTTGCACTTAAAGAGTTGTGGTCAATGACTCAATGTCCAAGTGTAGACCAGTGACGAGTGGTGTCCCTCAGAGGTCAGATTGGGACCAGCACTGTTTAACAGCTTTGTCAGTGACATGGAGAGTGGGATCGAGGGCACCCTCAGCAGCTCTGCTGACAACACCAAGCTGTGTGGTGCAGTTGACACGCCTGAGGGAAGGGACGGCATCCAGAGAGGCCTGGACAGGCTTGAGAGGTGGGGCCTGTGCAAACCTCATGGAGTTCAACAAGGCCAAGTGCAAGGTCCTACACCTAGGTGGGGGTAATCCCAAGCACAAATCCAGGCTGGGTGGAGAATGGATGGAGAGCAGCCCTGAGGAGAAGGACCTGGGAGTGGTGGTGGATAAGACACTCAACATGAGCCGGTAACATGCGCTCACAGCCCAGAGGCCAATAAGAGTGTCCTGGGCTGCACCCAGAGCAGCGTGGGCAGCAGGTGGAGGGAGGGGATTCTGCCCCTCTGCTCCGCTCTCCTGAGACCCCACCTGCAGTGCTGCCTCCAGTGCTGGGGCCACCAACACAAGAAAGACATGGACCAGTTAGAACGA